TAAAAAAGATTCTTATCTAAGGTGAACACCAATGGTCTTACTCAAACTATCTTAAACTAAATCCTTCTACAAATTTTATACTGTCCGATTTTAGTTTCACACGCGAACAAGACTTGCCCGGACTGATTCACTCCTATGATTTTTGTAATATCGACCGCACTATGATGATAGAGAGTAAAAATCGAATACTTCCCTAATTTGGCGTCAGTCTCTCTTCGAATTTCTGTTGGCCACCCCCCATATATTGTTGATTTCTAAGAAAATTATTTTTGACTGCTTACATATTATGTAGAGAACATTGAGGGCTGTGAGTAGGTAGGGTTAGTGGTGTGCTTGTAAATCAAAACTAACTGACATTTTTGTTGATAGGCATTTTAACTTCTTGCAAACAATTAGCTAAGAGTCATCAATCACATAAGATACTTGAACATCCTCCACACACTCACAACTTCCTCCTTATAATACACCTTAGAATGAAACCAGAAGGAATTTCATGAGAGAATTTATGCTTGTTCAGCTACTAAATATTTAAAAAAAAATCCAACCATACCACCCACCGTATTTAGCGAAAGTTTTATCTGATGAAGAGACAAATGTCAGAAGAGAGCTATAGAAGCCTACTTTTTCATCACATGAACAAACACTAAAGCATAATCAGAATTGTTATTACAAGGCTGCCTACTATCGCCAATGATTTTCCTGATTGCAGTAGATTGGATAATGCGACAGACAGCGGGCAATGAGGAAACAGGCATAAAATGGACTCACACAAGAAACTTGGAGGATCTCGACTTTACTGATGATATATGTCTGATTTCTCACAAACTGGAAGATATGCAAATAAAAAGCAACAAATTGGCAGAAGAAGCATCCAGAGAAGATAGGACTTCAGGTGAACATAGAGAAAACAGAGGTGATGAAGATTCCTGGGCAACACCACCAACAGCAACAACAAAAACAGACAACAATCAGCATAAATGGAAGGAACCTGAAAGAAACAACCTCTTTTACTTACATATTTGGGAAGCATCGTTTCAACTACAGGAGAACGGAACTGACGAGGATATCATCAAGGCAAGAATCGGAAAAGCAAGACAAGCTTTCACTACTCTCAAGTCTGTGTGGAGGTCAACAACACTCAGAATCAAAAATAACATCCGGATTTTCAACTCCAATGTGAAGTCAGTCAGTGCTACTCACTATACGGATCAGAGACTTGCACTGCGCGTCATAAAGAGCATCTCAAACAAACTACAGACCTTCATTAACAGTTGTTTTCGCTCAATACTCAAGATCAGATGGCCAGAAAAGATCAGCAACAGGGATCTTTGGGAACAAACCAACCAGGAACCGATTGTGAAACAAATAGGCAGGAAGAAATGGAGATGGATTGGCCAAACTCTGAGGAAACAAATCATTAAGTGACATCACTAGACAAGCCATCACTCGAGTGGAACCCGAAAGGGAAGCGGCGAGTCGGTTGTCCAAGAGTGACTTGGAGGAGGTCATGTGAAGAAGAAATGAAAGCTTGTGGGCAGACTTGGAGCCAGGTGAAGACTCTAGCAGAGAACCGAACGCAATGGAGACGCACGGCTGAAGCCCTAAGTTCCTCTAGGAACTAAAGGAAACTACATATATATATATTACTTATTCATTTATTATTCATTATATTTTACTAACTTTCAGTTTTTGTGGCTTTATTATTTTTACTAGTTGATCACGGATGGGTATCAGTTAGAGAACCAATGAAAACCAGCCACATGGAGTACTGGACAGCTGTTTCATCCTAGTCTGAGGATCGTCGTCAGTACGCACCCACAACCAAAGTTTGAACCCAGGACCTTCCTGTCACAAAGCAAGCTCGTTTTACCATTCAGTCACTGGCCAGTCAGTGCATGAATTCTAACTTCTACCAAATCGTGATTAAACACGACCACCAACCAATGTCATCGCTGGGAAATCTATCCTCACACGTGACATCTGGATGGACCTCACTGGTCACAACTTCTCGCTAGAACTCCAGGAAACTCCATCCTCTGACAAGTCACTAGCGACGATATTGGTTGGTGGTCGCGATAAATCACGAATTGGTAGAAGTTAGAATTCAACCATAAAAAACAACAGCAACATCCAATGCCAATCACCATCAACGGGAGGGATTTGAAAGAAGTTTCTTCATTCACTTATCTAGGGAGCATTGTCTCGACTACACGAGGAACGGACGAGGATATCAAATCGAGCGAGAATCGGGAAGGCGAGAAACACATTCATCAACCTGAAACCAATCTGGAAATCTTCGTCACTCACTCAGCATCAACAACAAAGTGATTCGGATTTTCAATACAAACGTCATGTGAGTTCTTCCATACGGATCAGAAACTTGACGGCGGGTCACAAAGAATATTTCCAACAGCCTGTTGCAGACATTTATCAACAGCTGTTTTCGTTCTATACTGAAGATTAGATGGCCAGAAAGAATCACCAACAAGAAACTATGGGAACAAACAAAACAAGAACCAATCGCTCAACAAATATGCAGGAGATTGTGGAGATGGATTGTACACTCGCTGAGGAGGCCGCTGGGTGACATCGCGCGTCAGGCCATTGCTCGAGTGGAACCCGAAAGGGAAGCGGCGAGTGGGACGTCCAAGGGTGAGATGGAGGAGATCGTGTGAAGAAGAGTTGAAACAGTATGGATTAACATGGATGCAGGTGAAAAGTACAGCAGAAGACAGAAACAAGTGGAGACGTGTAGTTGAAGCCCTATGTCCCACTAGGAACCCAAGGGACTAATAATAATAATGTAGAATTCATGGACTAGCCATTGAATCGGGTCTCAGTGACTGGATGGTACACGAGCTAGCCTTGTGACCGGAATGTCCCGGTTTTGAACCCTAGTGGTGGGTGCCTACTGGCAATGATTCCCAAACTAGGATGAAACAGCTGTCCAGTACTCCCTCTGGCTGGTTTTCAGTGGTTCTCTAACTGATATCAATCCATGATCACAACTCGTAACAACAAAAGTAATCCTTACAAACCAATTATAGAAAATTTATTATTTTTACTATTTATTGTAATAGTTACAAACGCCGAAAATTCTATTATGTATAATTATTATTGTTCTTTGGAATAAAGTGATTATACTATTACTGCTAAATGCAGCAGACGCTATGACAAGAATACGATGGAGGGACCAGTTCAAGTTGAAAACCGCTGACGTTTTCATCGTCTCTGCTCTGTAGAATTCACATGTGCTTGTGTGTGCGACCATGCTGCATTTATCTGAGATGTTGTTATTATTTTGTTAGGCTAAATGAATTATCTCATGTTAATGTGCGTGTAGGACAAGGAGATAAGAAACAGGTCTCTCAGACTAGAAACATTATAGCAGTAGTAGTGTGGCGAGTGCTACTGATAAGATTTTTCAGTAGTATAAAAAAATCAAATGGCAGGGAGATAGATTTTGAAGTCAGAGAAAGTAAAAATGATGCAGCATTGTGGAGATAAATGAAAGACGTGAAAGGAGCCGAAAGAAACACAACAATGAAGGCCAGAAGTACCACACAACACGAAGATCTGTGCAAATTGTGTGTACATAATTTGGCTATATAGAGATACCAATTTCCAAATAAACATTCCTTTACGAAGTCTTCGTCTTCTGCCGTAACCGTAGTAGTAGTAGTATTGTGGTGAGAGCTGGCTGCTAGCCAAAGTTGGTAGACAGTAATTGACGTCAATGTTTATGTCCCCAATATTGGTGGTGAGGAAATGAGAACAAAGGCCTTGCATAGGCGGATACAGTTAGCATATGGATGATCTGACACAGCCACAAAGAGATGCAAGGTTAACTTTCTGAGAAACAACCACCAATCAAAAGACTGTATTTTATACTAACAATAATCTACAATAATGTACATTAAAATCTATAAATATGTGTTGATTTTCCTTAATAAACGATCTGTTGCCTGGCCCGTGTCTTCTGTTGTTACAGTAGTAGTAGTAGTCAGCGGAATACACAAAAGTTTAGTCGGTAGAATGTAGACACATAGAAAAGTGTAAAGACACTGAACAAATCATTAAAATATTTCACAGCTGTTATTATTATTATTAATATAAATATTATTATCATATTATTAATTGTACTTTTTCTTTAAATTAACAATATAAGAAAACACCCAAAAGGGAAGAAAATACAAAAAAAAGGAAATTGCAAGAGAAAACAAAGATGAAGGAGTGCCTGCTCACACGCATACACAAACACACATACAAACAAACAAACAAATCAACAGGCATCCAATTTTATTAAAAGAGATTATAAAAAAGAGTAAACAAGTTACGGGGAAACGGCAGGATAAAATGCTGGAAACCTCCCCCGTTGAAAATAATTCCAAGATTAATTTCATATCACATAACAAACACACACACACAAGCGCACAGACACATGTGAATAGATGGGGGGGGGAGAAAGACAGAGAACAACAATATCCAAGGCAATAGAATAAACAAGATAGTAATAATAATAATAATAATTGTCTGTCACTAAAATTAGTTAGTTAGTTTAAACAAGAAATATATGTATATATATATATTGATTAAATGTACATAAATATTGATGTATTTGGACTAGGCAATATAAAGGAGGGATAGCAGATCACATTACACGATTCAATTCGATTCGACTTCATCATAAAAAGAAAACACTATCACTTTATATTAACAATAATAATAAATAAAGAAATAAAGTAAAATAATAATAATATTATCATAATAAGCACTATTATACACGAAATAAAATTGATTAATTAGTTGGTTGATAATATTAATGTCGACTTCAAATGACGGGGCGAGGGGAGGAGAGCAGGTGTTTGGAGGTTGGGACACTAAAGTCAAACATCCACATAATGCATATTTATATCTCTAAGCGCAATAATTAAGGTGATATCCATGTATTGCCACCATTTTACAGTTTTATTTTGAGAATCTCTTCGAATCAATAGAAAGGGGGGGGGGAAGATAAGTTACAGACATTTTAGGGATGGCGGTGAAGGTGGGGGGGGGGGGGGAAATTTCTGTTCTCTATATATAATCTGCAGCAGCAATCGATTCAAGTTTGATCCATATGTAATTTAGCCATATAATCAGACAAAGGTGAATTACTAAATCCATAGGGAGTTGTTGTGGCTGCTGTTGCTGTTGCTGCTATCGTCGATGCAATGCCAGATGGATTCACTGGCGTCGTCATCGTCGTTGTAGGTGTAGTTGTTGGCGCATAAGACATCATATTATTATTGTCATTTAATTTTCTACTCTTTATTGCACTAAGTTCAGTCTCTTTATTTCTTTCAATTAATTGATGCTCCATGTGAATAGCTTCAGAAAATGACCTTTGAGAAATGAAATGAGAAGGAGAAACACAGCGATAGATGATCGGCAGATATAAATAATAATAGTGAATGGATTACAATAGAACATTTTTCAAATCTTGTAAAGACCTTACTATTTTTTCCCCTCTATGGTAACACTCAATATGTATTAGTTTGAGGATAGTGACAATGTTTCGTTGTTGACAGACTTTAATTACTTTTCTGGACAATACCACTTTGAGCTATGTTTAACCAGGGTAGACTACGGATGAGCTACTTTCCAAACAAGTGGGACAACCCTCCGTCGATCTGGCTAGCAACCACTGCTGACTGATATAAGTGGTGTATAACTACTACTCAATTCTGACTGACTGACTGGTTTCAACATGGAACTTTACACCGATGTGCAGCAATTCGAGTCGCCACACCTTGACTCAACAGACAAAGCCAGGGAAGAAAGTAAAACAAAAACACAAAATAGAGACAGTAAACAGAGATATGAGGCAAAAAGAAAAGTAATAACGAAGAACAATAAAGTTTTATAGGAAATAATAAGTCACAAGGAGTGGATGCATCTGTGCCGCTGAGAATGATTTTGAGCCATATCACCAACTGTCTCCAGCCTTCATTGGTGTTTGCCGTCCCGAGGACCCCAAACAGTCAGGAAGTCTACACCTTCCTACGTGACTGGCTGGATTAAACTAACTGTTGTGGATTTCATTGACTGATGAAGCTATGTTTTGGTTTGATCACCACTGGCTCTTTTCCAACCTGACCCTATGTCAGCCAACATTGCCAGTCGGTCAAAGAAGGCGATGCACTAGGCATGCATGCGTAACACATGTCCTAACCACCTCACTCAATCGATGTAACTTCACAGTTTCGTCGACTGACTTCCCTTACCTAGCACTCGACGCTTAACCTCAATATTGCTCACCGTATTATACCATTTCACACGGGAGATAGATTGCAGGCACCTATGATCAAAGGCAGCTAGCCAACTTTTCCATGTCATTCACTCACAATGGCCAGGTCTCACAGCCATAAAGGAGGATGGAGCGGACTGCTTAGCAGTACACACGCCTTTTGCTTGATAACCGGATATCACGTCTACGCCAGTTTACGCTGTCTCTGGTTCTTTTCCAACCTGACCCTATGTCAGCTAGCATTGTAGAATAAAAGGGGGAGACATAATGATTTCAGCTGCTATTGTTGTTTCCTTTTTAACAAAAAGGGTAAGAAGGGGTCACAAAACAGTAGATAGGTAAAGCACAAAGAAAAAGAACACGGAGAAATTCTGATCTATAATTGATTTTCTCTGTCTCATTGAAAAGTGATACACAGGATGTTAAAATAATACATGCATACATGCAGACATAGGATAAACTTTATTTCTTAGTAAGATTATTTATTATCTATCGTGTAGAAATGAGAGAAAACAACAAGAAATATCACCATAGAGACTACAATTTCTTTTCCTCATCTAGTATATTTTTTATCACAAAATGATACTACTACTACTACTACTACTAATAGCCTACAAGAATAACTGGGGAAAATATGCAGAAACAGACTACTAGTAAGTAGGCTGTTAAGTCAAAAATCCTAGAAGTTTAGAGAAGTGAAATTAGCCATGTATGGCATCACACTGAGTGAGAGTGAGAGAGCGAGAGAGATTAGCACGTCAACATTCATCATTCACATTTTATATATTTTCTCCAAGTTATGATAATTTCATCCACTACTTTCTTTTGATACATTTCTAGAAAGAAAGACCGAAATTCAGAGTATGATATCATTCTGTTTCACAGGTCCTCCCCCTCATCAGCTGCACAGAACTACCTGAAATTACACAGGTTGTAATAGAATGAATGAATGGTGTTTGAAACTATGAGCATTGGAGTCGACCCTCGGTGGGAACACCATCACTCATTGAGAAATGCAGGTATATCCAGATGACGGGCCCTGAATCGGACGAAATGCTCATCGTGGATTCCCCTGCTAGTTCCATTATAGACACGATTTTATTTCGATAATTCACACAGTATTGTTATACAGTAATATTAACTGATGACCACGTTTCGAGCACAAACTATTGCCACTCATAATCATATCAAGTCACTCACACAACTTTTTACTTCGTTTATATACATGAGTGAAATGAATTAGACATTTGAATAAAATCAATATAAGATAATGTACTTATCTTCTCGTGGTCAACCATTCTTACCTTAGCTAAATTCTTATGTTCCGATAATCTGACTACCCCCGACCTACTAGTCTGACCTATGTAGTTGCCTGAACTTAGTCATTGCAGGGTATTTTGTAAATTATACTATTTTGTTTAATTGGTCTGTAGGCTAAAAGATCTGGTGGACCCAATAAAAGAAAGTAATATAATTTACAAAATACCTTGCAGTGACTGTAAGATCAGTTACAGAAATGTACGGGAGAAAGGAAAGTAACATGGAAAAACAGGAGGGCTTGATGAATATGCGAGATCATAATGTCTGAAACGTTGAGGACGATTTTGAACAGTAACTACCAATACCCTTTAACCATTGGTTCTTAGAATGCTGACGACGCCAAAGAGGAAGTCTACACCTACATCCCTATGTGGCTGGCTCAAACTGACTGTTAGACATTTCATGGACTAATACCATGTTTTTGTTTGAACACCACTAGCTCTTTTCCAACGTGATCCATCCTATGTCAGCTAACATTGCCCGTCGTGGAAGCTGATGGCCTGGCCTGGCATGGCATAACACATGTCCTAACTATCTCCTCAATCTATATGGCTTCACAACCTCATCCATTAACTTTCTCTCCTTACCTAACACTTGACCGAAACCTGACCTCAACACTACTCACTTTACCGTACCACCTAACAGGGGAGATAGAACGCAGACACATATGATAAAAGAGAGCCAGCCAGCTAGCCAGACTTTTCATTTCTTCCACATTTTAAAAGGGGAAGGTTACACAGCCAGTGCGTCGGTGGCACAGCGGTTAGCACTCTCGGCGACCATGCACATGGTCCGGGGTTCGATCCCCGACCACCAACGCATTCCTTTACCTCGCTAAGCCATTAATAAAGCTGGTAAAGAGGAAATGTTGGGCATGAGGCTAAAAACCCCATCCTGTGAAAATAAACAGCACTGCTACAGAAACTTCAAGCCTCTAGCTTGAAGCCCTATGTTCCACTGGGAACGTGAAGGAATAAAAAAAAAAACACAGCCATAAGGGGGGAGGGGGACAGAGAGAAATTTTAAATTACCGGCATAAGTAAATGAATGAATTTCTTAGTAGAATTTATCAATGGAAAAACAATTCTCAACAGACAGACGTAGTAAAGTAAACAAAGAAAAAATAAGATTGAAGTATACTTATATAATGCCGGTAATAAATTTACTTTCTCTATGTTTACCTAACGAACACGCATAAAATAAACAAAACGATAATATACTTAAGAAAAAAGGCAAAGATATGACGATTTCACTTAGATTAATTCATACTGCTCTTACTTAGTAAATTAAATATACATGTGGTAGTATTTATGAGATAGAGAAATTTACCTGGATCTCACACAGTGATACACATGTGACGGTAAAATGCTTAATTATTGTTTCCCAATTCACTATCATGTGCGTTGTTGGCACAGCGGTGGAATGCTCGCCAGTCATGCAGGTGCTCTGTTGTTCGATGCCCGGTCACCGACGCACTCCTTTACCTCGGTAAGCAAGTAATAAGACTGGTAAAAAGAGGGAAGTTTGGGCACGAGTCTAGTAACCTCATCCTGTAAAAATAAACACTGTTACAGAAACTTCAAGCTAGAGGCTTGTTCCACTGGGAACGTAAAGGAATAAAAAAAATTCGTAATAATAATAACCTTCACTGATAAAGAAGTTATTGTAGCTACTGAAAATTAGGAGTGGAAGGAAAAGAAGAAAAAAAGACTTCAACATTTATGAATGCAAAGAACAAAAGATTTGACACTATAGTAACTCAAGTCATGCGTCCGAACCGTATTGACCAAGGAATACAAGCATGAAGTGCATGTCAAAGACTTCCTGTCGATTGCCTCCAACCATCTAATATCAAAAATTCAAAGAGCTCCATAATGGCGAGCTACCTAGAACTATGGCCACATCGCAAACTTGACTGTCTGTCCACTTCAGTATACACCAAACAAAGGACTAGACACACTACACTAGTAACTAACTAGTGTCCAATCAAAAGTATCTAGTACAGTCCTACAGAAGGTCAATCGACAGCCCGACATGAGTACATCCGAGGTTGCAGATACGCCTTGATGACTGATGAGTGCCAACTAACACGAAACCTGGGTGAAGCAAGGCTTCCTGTGGCCGATTTCCTCCAACTATCTAATACAAATACAATTTTTAAAGGTGATAGTATTGCAGGAATAGTTAGTTAACAGAAGATTGATTACCACACTAGCCATCATCTCTCCTGCAGCTAAGAGTTGGTTCCCGCTTATCGGACAACCTGCTTTGTCAAAAGACTGAAACCCGATTGATTTGTTCATAAACAAGCAATTATCAACCTTTCATTTTCTCTGCAATTGGATGTCTTTACTCTCTCTCACTTTCATTTGATCATGTAATCTTTGATTTTAGCCTTTCCCCCTTCCCATTTGACATAATGTAACTTTGTTAGTCTCTTATTTCTATAATTTGAGTTGAATTCTCCATATTCTTATTGAACTCATTAGTTATTCATCACCTATCTTATTCATCTCTTTTCTTTATTACGTAATTCTTGCCATTTTATCCAGGCGGTTACTCTTGTTTAAACTTGAACTTTCTGGGAACAAACTGTATGAGTTTAATTTTTGAGTAGTATATTAACTCTGGAGTCTCCTGTCAACTAACATTATGTGACATTTCTAGGCTATCAAGTGTTAGTTTGCAGGAATTTGGTTGGTTTGAGAACCACTAAAAAACCTGGGAGTACTGAACAGCTGTTTCTTACCAGTTCGGGACCCTTCAGTACTAAGCACCCACCCGAAGAGGTTCGAACCCAGGCCTTTCGATTACCAGGTGCGCTCGTAAACCATTCTCAGCCACTGAGACCCACTCCAATGGCCATTCCATGAATTCCAACTTCTGCCAACTCACGATATAACGCGACCACTAGCTAATGCAATGCCTTCGGCGAATATTTGTCTTCACACCTACCATAAGAGAGAATAGGTACTTACAGAAGATTGTGGCTGGCGACGGCGCTGCATACTGCGAACTGGTTGAAGTTGAAATTTATGGGTCATTATATCTCGTCCCAGTGACTTGTTGGTCTACGAGCTCGCCTTGTGACGAGAAGGTCCTGAATTCGAACCCTGTTGGGTGTGTACTACCAATAAGTCCCTACTAGGAAGAAACAGCTGTCCAATGGGTTCTCCAACCGATGAAATTTTTATGTTAAAATCATCCTGTACATAAACTTAAAAAATTCTTTAGACTGTGTGCAGATGACGAGAAGCCAATAAAATTTGAAAAAATTATGATGGTACCATCTTATTTTGAAAAAATTGTGTATGAAAAGGACGAAATTCCTAACAGTGTTACTATCATTTTAATGAGAAAGCCAAACACACTTATTGTCGGCATACTACACAATGTTGTTAAACGATTTAAATAGCATCGTCAAGAACTAGTGAGATCTAATTCTACAAATGATCAATATATGAAATCTACATTGCGTTTATTTCTCAACGCAAACTTATAAATATTATTGCATACATGAATATTGTCGAGGAAAAGATAAAAATAGTGGAGAGACAGAAAGAAAAAGAAAACCCCGCTTCCAATACCTACATTGCAACAATCTCTTCAGATACATTTGTAAAACATTTCCAACCAGTTTTAGCATGATGTCGTATTGTAGTCATCAGATTGACAACAGCTTCTGGTCTAGGCGGACGAATTAACTCAGACTTTGGTATCCAATATGAGGCATTCATCCATGCCTCTTGAGCACCATTAACATCAATACATTGATTCGATGGATCATCGTTCAAGACAGGTATCCAGTGAGTTTGTGACGCTGGAAGTAATAAAGCATTTAAGCATGATGTAATACAATCAGCTACTGTTGCCGGAGAATAACCACCTTCTAAAGCCAAGACTATACGACTGTTTGATATGGACATACACTGGAATGAGATAACAAAAAACAAATCAAATAAAAAGAAAATAATGGACATATAACGCATGCAGTTCTATAAATTATACTCGTTATCATTAGAAAAAAAAAGGATAATTTAAACTGCCATTAATTTATTCCTACTCACATTCTACACAGTTATAACGACGTTAATGTTGTTTCAAATTATTATTATTATTGTTCCCCTGAGTTCCTAGTGGAACATAGGGCTTCAACTGCACATCTCCACTTGTTTCTGTCTTCTGCTGTACTTTTCACCTGCATCCATGTTAATCCATACTGCTTCAACTCTTCTTCACACGATCTCCCCCATGTCACCCTTGGACGTCCCACTCGCCGCTTCCCTTTCGGGTTCCACTCGAGCACTGGCCTGACGCGCGATGTCACCCAGCGGCCTCCTCAGCTCAGCGAGTATCCAATCCATCTCCACTTTCTCCTGCATATTTGTTGGACGTTGGTTCTTGTTTTGTTTCTTCCCACAGTTTCTTGTTGGTGATTCTTTCCGGCCATCTGATCTTCAGTATAGAGCCAGCGAAGACAGTTATTGTTGATAAAGGTCTGCAACAGGCTGTTGGAAATATTCTTTGTGACACACTGGCCAAGTTTCTGATCCATCCGTATAGAAGAACTGACTGACTTGACGTTTGTATTGAAAATCCGAATTTTGTTGTTGATGCTGAGTGACGAAGATTTCCAGATTGGTTTCAGGTTGATGAATGTGTTTCTCGCCTTCCCGATTCTCGCTCGATTTGACATCCTCGTGTGTTCCTCCTGTAGTTGAGACAATGCTCCCTAGAAAGGTGAATGAAGTAAACTCTTTCAGATCCCTCCCGTTGATGGTGATTGGCGCGCAACACTATACTAACTAAATATCAGATAAGTTAAAGGAAGTAACGTGTTGAATATAAAAATCTTACAATAAAATTGCCTCTCTAGAACAGCCTACTGACAAAACGATCAAACAGTAGCATATAATGAATGAATTTGCATTGAAGAAAAAAAACAGCTACTTGAACTGGTCAATATACACATTTTCACAGCTTTGTTCCTCCTCCCTGGTATAAAAGCAGTTTGGTAAAGATCCTCATTTACAGCATCAGACGTATTTGTTCAGAAGACGCAGCTGAAGACGGGGTTTAGAGAGTTGTATATGACATGTAGTCAGCTCATCACTTAAAACATGGCCAAGAGAGTAGGCAAAAATTCCTCTGTATCTGTTAACAAAAAGCCTCTATATAGACACGACTGCACAATTCAAAAGTGATGCATCCAAGTGAAATTATAACCAGCTAGTTGAGGAAATCGATCCGAAGAACGCTTAATGACGACAAGATGGAGTTTATATTTTCTAAACAACAACCAGTTGTAATTCTGAAAATGAAAGATGAAGTACCTAGGCTAGTCACACAACTAACTATGAAGCACCTACCAGTGTGGTTAAGTATAAGTGCTGTTATAACCATCAACAGTTCTGTATTGGACTACTTTGTGCAAAAACAGGTCACAATGCCTAACACTGATTGAAGAGTCCTCCTCCTTCATCATCTATCGGGTACAGAATACACTACCAAAGGTCTCCAGATACAGAACACTTCGAAGAGAGCAGAGACACCATTGCACTTCGCTTAAATCGATCGGAGCTGTGTGTGCAGAAGAAACTGGTCCAATCGACCACTAATATAACCCTTCCATCGGCTGCCCTCCAACCTATAAATTCATGAGTTCTGTCTTACTTCCCCAAAATTATCTGAAATTTAGTCAGTCTAGTGTTAGATAACAGTCAATTATCCGTCTCTTACTGATGCTTTCGAAATGTAATCTGTCGAGACTATTGATTTAATGTCAGCTGAAACTCTTCCTTTGTTAATAGCAATATATATATATATATATATATATATATAATTTAATGACGTTCACCAGCCGCAAGCTGTTCTCTACCTCTGTAAAAGATAAGCTCCCCCGTCTGGCCGCCTCCATGTTCACCTGCTCTTGTGGAGCAAGGTACATCGGCCGTAGTCAGAATACGCTTTTCACACGGATACGAGAACATATTCCAGCAGCATGGTTTTACAAGGGAGAAAGAAAGTGTGTGCGAAGCTCTATTCTGGAACACCTGATCGACTTCTGTCACTCTGTCAACCCTGACCATGATTTTAAGATCATATATAGAATCCATGCTAACTTCCCGCGTTTTCTTCGTTACAGACTGCTAAAGACAGCTGAGGCCTTGGCAATTTATGACTTTAAGCCAGACCTTTGTGTACAAAAGAAGTATGTACAATCCCTACTTCTGCCTTGGCCGTAGAGGGATAGACATCCATTTATTTTGTTTATTTAGTTATTCTATATACTTTCTCTTATTACTACGATTATTATTATTATTATTATCATTATTATTATTCTCACTCTGAATCTTTTCCCCTTGACCCACTTGTCATTTTAAACTCAAAATTATTAATTTTTATATTTTTTATTTTTACAATATTGAATTCTATCTTATCTAATTTCACACCATGTTACGTAACACTTTATATTCGTCTACTAATCCTATAATTATGTACCACTTTCCAAAATCTATATACCTAATGTATTATTCCATATATGACATTAATTATTTTGCCCCTTGACATTAAACTATGATTATAATCACAAATATTTCAATTGCATTTCATACCACTATTATTATTCCATGTATTCACACCTTTGACGTAATTCCCTCACCGGATAGAATTTCTTAAAAACCATATATATATATATATATATATATATATATATATATATATAATTCAAGTATTGGTTTGTAGGGATTTGGTTGATTGGTTACAGGATTTCATCATGAGCTGACATTGGTTAGAGAATCATCGGAAAACCTGGGAGTACTGGACAGCTGTTTTGTCCCAGTTTGGGACTTTTCAGTAGTACGCGCCCACCGGGATTCGAACCCAGGACCTTCTGGTTACAAGGCTAGCTGGCTCGTAGACCCTTCAGCCGCCACTGGGACCCAATCTAATGGCCCATGAATTCTAACTTCTGCCAATTCACGATACAGTGCAACCGCTAGCCGATGTCTTCGGCGAGTATTTGTCCTCACACCCGACCTGCTGCATCCTGCTGGTCACGACTTCCCATATTAGTTGGTCGGGGTCATTTAGAGTATTGGAAAGCAGAAATGTAGCTAGACTTAGAATGATTAACCCTGCTAAGTTAAATAGCCTAGAATAAAGTTCAGCGATTGCAGTACATTCACATGCATGTAATCATACGATACGTGGGGTGGGACAGGGTGAAAGTATTAAAAAGTAATATAGTTCGGTGGAGAGACAGAGAGGTTAATCACGGAATCTTTCTTTGTTCAGCGAATGCACACCGCATTCATGCAATCGAAATGACGCAACACCCAACACCCGGATATATATTGGAGAATTACAACGAATCACAAGAGAAAGAGAATACTGCATCACTAAGTGTTATTTCAAATAAACTTATCTGATATGGAAGAATAATAATCATAACAATAATAATAATTCCTCATATCCTACCTGATGTGTAATCCATGCGAACAGACCAGCTGATACAGAATAACCACCGAGTGCTTCTCCGTGACCATAAGCAGCATCATAACCAGCTGAGATTAAGATAATATCTGGTTGAAATTCATGTCCAACAGGTATAACAACAGATCGCATTGCAGCTAAATATTCTGCATCACTTAAACCCAGTAAAGGTTCATTCCTAGGACGATGTTGTGCTGCTGCTGCTGCCGCCGCGGCTGACGATGATGTCGTTGATGATGAAGACTGATGAGGCAGTGATTTCCTTTCTGTCTGTTGATAGTGATGATGATAATGGTGGTGATGATGATGATGTTGATGACGTGAGTGAAATTGACACTGGGATTGATTTGTATCCGATAACAGGATATCTGATTTATCATCAGAACATGATTCAATCGATTGTGAAGCATTAAATAATAATCCAGAATTTGTTCGAATATATGATAAAGGTGGTGGTGGTGATGATGAACGAATTGACTGGGATAAACAAAATGAACACATCTGAGTACTACTACTACTATTACTACTAATACTACCACCACCACCTGTACTTGTTTGTTGATTCAATGATAATGAACATGTACAATATGGTAAGTCGACAGTATCATGTCGACATTGTATTGAACATCGACATGATGATGATGAAAATGAGGATAATGAAGAGGAAGATTTCTCTGGTTCAGATGAATTTGATTTATCCGAATAACTTTGATGATGTTGTCTACATGGTGGTGCAGCACCTTCAACGACATTATCACCAGGATTGCACAATACTTGCTATTCATAGCACATATATACATGAATATGAAAGAAAATTATTATTAGTAGTAGTATTATTATTAATAGTGATAATAATTAAGAATACCTCTTGTGATAATTCTTGCCACTTTCAGAAAATTAACTCAGATGAATTAACAGCTAACCAAAGTTATATATATATGTACATTCACACTCTCTTAAATGGTAACTTGATGTGTTTTTTCTTTTAAAAAAGAATTTCTAATAAAAACCATTTTTCGAATCAATAAAGACTACTTTATTTCTAAACATAGTAGTATGCATTTTTAAAGAATTCAAATAAGATGTATTAGTGTTTGTTTTTTCTCTAATTCACATCCACTTAGTTACCACTTACTTACGTATTGAGCAGTGATGCATTTAAGTTGCGTCTTTCACACCAACATAAAGTAAGAATGACAGTTTAAGCAACATGCCGTGTTGTTTTTCGTTTCATCGGTTTCTCATCAACTGAACATGTAGCTCAATTAATCAATTATTAAAATTTAATTTTAATTTTTGATTATAGCTTGATTCCACACAGTACTTTTTGGTAGAAGTATGGAATTTTCAGCATGTGATATCGGTAGACCAAATTTTGCAGGGCAACCATTGATATCAAGTGTGCGTCGTCAGGGGATCGAACTCCGGACGATGTGTATGGTCGGCGAGAGTCTTAACCACTATGCCACCCACCGATGCATGTACAGAGAAATTGTAAATATTCTATTTATCAAAATTCTGATTTTCTCCTTCTGTTAGTCCCAGAATTTAAACGGCTGCTAGTAATAATAATAATAAAAATTATTATTATTATTATTATTGTTCCCTTGGGTTCGTACTGGAAAATAGGGCTTCAACTGCACGTCTTCACTTGTTTCTGTCTTCTGCTGTTTTTTTCACTTGCGTCCATGTTAATCCATACTGTTTCAATTCCTCTTCACACGATCTCCTCCATGTCACCCTTGCACTGACGTCCCACTCGCCACTTCCCTTTCAGGATCCACTCGAGCACTGGCCTGACGCGCGATGTCACCCAACGGCCTCCTCAGCGAGTGTCCAATCCATCTCCACTTTCTCCTGCATATTTGTTGGCCGATTGGTTCTTGTTTTGTTTGTTTGTTCCCATAGTTTCTTGTTGGTGATTCTTTCCGGCAACTTTTTAGTTACTTATCACCAACCAATTTATCTCTTGTATTTATTGTACATTGTCTTCTTCAATGTATCCATCTCATTTTAAACCTGAACCTTTGGTTTATTTTATGATTTGTTAGTGTAACTTTTCAACACTTATTATAGTTTCTCCAGTCTTTCATTGACTGATCTAAAATTACCTTTGCGAGTACTTTAACAATTTCTCTGGACATATACTTAAATAACAGTTGCTTTCAGACTGTATTGACGTTGACGAGAAACCGACCCATGTTCTTGCTTTATTCAAATTCATAATGACGAATAAATTTATGAAATATCTACAAAAGTTAATTTGTAGGGATTTGATGTGCTTCAAGTTTCACCATGGATCAATATCAGTTAGAGAACCCATTAAAAACCAGTGAGTGCTGGGGTACTGGATAGCTGTTTCATCCTAGCTTGAGACTCGTCGGCAGTACACACCCACTGGGGTTCGAACTCAAAACCTTTCGCCTAAAAGGCAGGCTTATAGAATTTATAATTCATGAGCAAAAGAGTCCGGACTCAGCAGTCTGAATGGTCTACAAGCTTGCCGTGTAACCAGAGGGTCATGGGTTCAACCTCTGGCGGGTATGTATGAAATATGTTTATCTTTGCATACTGAAACATTTAATGTCAGTTAGCAGAAAAACCTAGATCCACGGAAATCTTCTGATAATTTTCAATCCTCTAAGGTCAAACAAAGCACAGTATTATTGATGAAAGTTCTTTCAACTTCGAGTTCATCTGAAATCGGCAACTCGCTGATATCCAGGTTAATACAAAACTAAAAACTTTCCCTTTCGTTTTCTTAAGCAACATCTGTCTGTTCGTAATTTAGCATAACTGACATATGCATATTTAAAAAAACATTTACTCAAATTTACTCACTTTTTGTTGTATCGATCGATTCGCAGAATCCTTTAAACAAATTAAATGAAGATATGAGTTGCACATAAGTACACACACACGCACAAACAAACACAAACACGCAGTTACATAATAAATAATGATTAAAATAACGCACACTTTTCGAGGAAAAACATACTGTGACATGTAAAATGAACATACAACTAAGCTAAAATAACAAAGAATCAATAATTTCAGTGGAAATATAGGCTGTTGCTACCTCCTACTACTCACTAGTTTAAAAGTGTCTCAAGCAGGAGATCTTCTAACCTCACTTTGTTTTTTTTTTTATTCTTTTCTTTTTCATTATGACTAACAAGTTTAACTGTAGTAGGGAGGTGTATGTTTCAGATATCATTATTCTCACGACAATAATAATAATATTCTGGAACTTGTAAGGAAACATCTATGCATGTATTGGCACCTTGTGACACTTCTTTCCAACTCACCGACTACATTACAAGACATGGACGCTACACAAAAACAAAAGTATGCCTATCCTTCAACAGTGAATCACTCTTTTGATGATATTAGATAGTTGGAGGCAATCGGCCACAGGAAGCCTTGCTTGACCTAGGTTTCGTGCCAGTTGGCACTCATCAGCAAGGCGTATCTGCAACCTTGAAGGAACTCATGTCCCTTCTGAGATTCGAACCCGCGTCACCCAGTGCTGCATTCAGAGACGTTACCACTGAGCTATTCGGGCTGGCAATTGACCTCCTGTAGGACTGTAGTGAATATTTTGATTTGACACTAGTAACTAGTGTGATGTGTCTAGTCCTCTCTTTGGTGCAAACTGAATTCTATCAGTCAGGTTGTAATGTGGCCACCATTCTAGGTAGCTCGCCATCACGGTGTACATTGTTTGTGATGATATCAGATGGTTGGAGGAAATCGGTAGGAAACTGTCTGTTTTATATGTAAACATATACAGATGATAACTAGTAGTGGAACATTGGAATACCAACAACTTCTTTTTATTTTAAAGGAACTTCTGCTGAGGTGTACTCTCTCTATATGTACAATTCACTTTCGATGACATCATATACCGAAAAAAAGATGGTGTATTGCAATGGGGTGGGTCTCCCTTGGGTCCCTCATTAGCAAACTTTTGAATGGTAAGCCTCGAGAATGGTTCATTCAAGTCGACTATTATCAATCTACAACTGTACACAAAGTAGTTAGATGACTGCTATCCGGCAATAAAATTCACTCTTGAAATGGAAAACCAATCCAAAATTCCCTTTCTTGTTGTGGAACTAACAAGAAGGAGCTGAAGGAGCCTTAATAATAAGTTCAGTTCATAAGAAATTCATTTGGAATGGTCAACTAACGAGTTTCCACAGTTGTGTCTGATGAACGGAAACAAAATTTAATATAAATCCCTTTCCACTTGCATCCAACGCATTTGTAGTCCTGACAAGCGCCCTAGAAGTAGAAGTGGATCTTCTAAAAAGAAATCTTCATCCGAAATGGATACCCACTAGGATTCATTGATTAGAATATCAAGCCAAAAGTTCAGAGAAACGAAATATCACTTGTACCTAAAAGAAACTTTACGCGAACGTGGATTTTTCAAGGCGGACGTAACATGTGATAAACTTAAGAGGAGAATTTCAGCATTCTTGAGGAGAATATTCTTCGCTGAAATCCTAGGAGTGGTGTTCTGCAGTCGTCCACTGTTCTGCAAAAGCCTGAAGAACAAGATCTCGCACCTGACTACTTCTACATGTATGCATATATCAGTTCACCTGTTGCTGCAGGACCGGGTATATTGGTTGTTTGACGATGATCCGGTCTGAAAGGCTTGAAGAACGCCATCTTGCCTGGTTGTGAAAAGGCAGTAGTGGCTCTGTAGGGAGTGCAACAACCGAATACCTTGTCAACACTAGTCATTCTACCTCAACAAACCACTGTCTCAAAGTAATCTATAAAGTGAGGAATAACTTGCCAAGGGCAATACGCTTTCGTCTCTTTTGCACTACTGAAGCTCTCCTCATTCAGATGGAGAAACCAGAGTTATGTATACAAAAGAAAATTATTTAATCACTTCCACTATCATGGTATCAACCCTCTAGCGACTTGATAATACTGCAGCACTAGTCTGCACCAAATCCTATTTTAATGATGAGGTGCGTGAAGTGGTTGACCATATTCATCACTTCAATTAATTAGGAAGTTCTGTCAGCCAAAATGAACTGATAGCTGACGAAATCATCTGCGTGAATACAAAACGCTCATCCAAAATTTCTAGACTTGAGTTATCTTCTGGCTTAGACATGATATGTGGTTATCTATCAAAGATATGTACTGCATAACAGTCCGCTCCTACACATTTTTGGAGGTTATCATTTGTGGTCATTGAGAGTGGAACAGATGAAAACGCTGGTAGTCTCTCTGAACATAGATGTTTGCGATCTATGCATAACGTTACGTGGCACAAATGGTCACTAATAATGAGGATGCGTGCAGAGTGTTAGATGACGAGGAGAAATTAACTTAAGAGGCTGTGAAGCTGTATCGATCTCTCGACCGACGGTGAGGACATATATCACACACATGCTGTATCACTGCTTTCCTTGACAGGCAATGTGTGCTGATACATAACTGTGCTGAAAAAGATTTCGGGCTTCTCGTACGCAAACATGACATTAATCCACGAAGACCCTGGCTACTGATCTGAGCCACGTAGGGGAAGTGCCGACTGTCTGAGTGAGCTCTTTAAGATGTCAAGAACTAATGACTGGAGACTAACGATGATATGGCTAATCTCAAGGACCTCAAACAGCCAGGCTGCACAACCTAGCAAAGCTGGTTAAAACTAACCGTAGTGAATTTCACTGACTGATGCCATGTTTTTGTTTGACCAACACTAGCTCTTCTCCAGCCTGATCCATCCTGTGTCACCTGACATTTCCCGCCGAGGAAGGCAATGGCTAGGCATATGTAACACATGTCCTAGCCATCTTGATCGATGCAGCTTCACAACCCCATCGATTGAACTATGCTCCTGGCCTAGTACTCGACGCCTAACCTAAATATTACTCCCCCTATTATAACATATACCAGGGGAGATAGAACTCAGACATCTATGATGAAAGACAGCAATCCTTTTCATATCTTCCACTTTCAATGGCCATGCCTAAAAATTATAAGAGAAGACAACGCCAGCTGCTACAATCTCATATGACTTTTCTAAGGGAGAATATGGAAAGCAAAGCAAAGCAAAGATCTTCTTAAACTCATGACTTATTCACCACAAATACAAACAGATAGATTATTACTATAGAATATTTCAAAACAACAAAATAATAATAAAAATAGCCTACTTGAAACCATCCTTTCCTCCGTTCAACAGCGTCTACACTATAAGCTTTACCGGTACCAGCACTTGATCGACGTTTCATTTGTGATCTAACAGTCTCTAAGTTACCGCAACAAGGGCAACCGACACTGCTGTGTGGATTTTCCCATGCAATATTTATCACCTGAGACATTGGAATAGGTTTCTTTGAGAAATCATCAGAACTCAGCAGACCAGTAGGCTTAAGGATATCTGTCTCCACAGTTTGGCCAATATCTTTATCGAATGATTTTGACAAATTCGCGGAAGTAGTATTAACACTGGGATTATGGGAGGAGGTGATCACAGGAGTTGTCGTGTTATTATTAGTCGTAGTCGTAGTCATAGTAGTAGTGCTTGTATCACTTTGACAAGAAATTTTTAGCGTTGATTGACTTTCATCTGTACAATTATTGACTGAACCTGTACCAGGAAAAAATGTTCCACCATCGTATCTATGCAGACTTAAATACACTAGGCCAGGATGTGTTGCAGCTAGCTTAGTTCCATTGCCATGATGTATGTCCCAGTCAAGAATTAAAACTTTTGAGACAATACCTTCACGGAGTAAATGCAGTGCAGCTATTGCAACAGAATTAAAATAACAAAATCCCATGGCTTGATCAGGTTCTGCATGATGACCAGGGGGGCGGACAATAGCGAATCCATTACGGAATTGACGTTTAGCTACCCTATTGACAAAAAAAAACACACAGAGAATGAGATAAATACAACAAAATGGTTATGTAGTTAGTATTCGTGCATTACAGCTGACAAGATACGAATGTCAGATATAGCTGATAAATTTCAAGTTCTTAAACTTCTCTGAAGATGGTATAGAATGAATCTTTGACATCAACAGATGACAGCTAACTTAAACAATCTGTTCACAAACTGTATGGCTGGCTGGCCGGATTCAACATAGATCTTGACACCGAAGTACAGCAGTTCCAGTTGCCACGTTCCAAATAGCACACAAAGGTAGACAAGAAAATGAGTGAAGGGAATCAATAGAGTTTTGACAAGTATAAGAGTCAAACAGAATGAGTAATGGTAGAAAGGAATATGAAAGATTACAGAGACTGAATACATCTGCGTAAGCCATTGATAACGATTTTGAGCCATGTCAACTATTGTCTCCAGCCATTGATTCTTAGAGTTCCGAGGGCCCCAACACGGAAGTCTGCATCTCCCTCCCTACCTGACTCAGTTTAACTGTCAAAGAAGGATTTCATGGATTGATGAGGCCATGTTTTTGTTTGGCCACCACTTACTCTTTTCCAACCAACCTGCACCTATATCAGCTAGTAATGCCCGTCCGTCGAGGGAGGCGATGGTTAGGCATGCGCAGCACGTGACCTAGCCATCTCAATCTATGTAACTTTATAGCCTCGTCGATTGATTTTCCCTCTTTGCCCAACACTCTACGCCTAACGTCAACATTACTTACCTTATTATGCCACCTAACGTGAGAAAGAGATCGCAGACATCTGTGGTCAAAAACAGTCAACCTTTTCATGTCTTCAACTCATATTGGCCATGTTTCAGAGCCATAGAGAAGTACATAGAGCAGTACACACGTCCCTTGGTTGATAGCCGGATCTCACGCCTACGCCAGAGATGGTGTAAGTTAGCGAAAGCAGCTCGAGCTTTCTGCATCCGTGCTGGGATTTCGTCACCAATCAATCCGTTGATGCTGATACAACTTCCCAAATAGGTGAAGTGGTCAACATGTTCTATCACTCCACTCCCTGTCACTAAGCTAGGGGTAGACGTAGTCCAGTCCTGTAGCAGCATCTTACATTTTACAGGGGCGAATAGCATGCCAAACATACGAAGATTGCTGCTCAAGGTGTTCAGAAGACTCTGCATTTTGTCAGCATCCTCCCCTAACAGGAATACTTCATCTGCATATTCTAAGTCCATAAGACTATTCCCTGGTAACAAGTCGATTCCCAAGTCGTTAAGTTCAGTTAAGGATACTTCCATTAGCATATCACAAACTGTATAATTCAGATTCATATTTCTTGAAGTGTAACAGTTGCTTTCTTCTCATGTGGATAGTGTTGATATTGCAAACAATTATTCAATCGATGTTACAGGATAACTAACAATACTACTGAATAAGACGAATAGTTGGAAATCACCCAAAATGATTCAGATACTTGGTTAAACCGATTTGGAGTAATGTCGACTGTAATCTACATTTTAAAAAATGGATCTAATTAAACTTGTGTTCGAAGATCATTTGAATCTGTTTAGCTATCTGCATTTATGTTGTATAGTTCTTTAATGGGACCTTAGATGGTGATAACTAATCAGTCAAGTTCCCAATACGGCACGCGATCACCATGTTCTGTGAATTTTCATCGCATGCTTGGAGACAATCAGCAGCAAGCCTTGCTTGACCTAGGTTTCGTGCTTCTTAACACTCGTCATCAAGGTGTATCTACAGTCCTAAGGGAACAAACTCACGTCCCTTCGGAGGTTCGAACCTGGGTCATCATCCAATACTGCAGTCAGAGAGTGTACCATGGTGGTGAGTCATCTAACATAGTAGCCGAATTGAAAAGATGACTAGCGGAATTCAGTCTGCACAAACACCGAGGACTAGACGCATGACACTTATTAATATTTAGTGTCCAATCAAAGGATCTATTACAGTTAGTCCTACAGACGATCAATCGCGATTCAAAATATTATTATTTCCTTTAATTCATAGAGGAACATAGGGCTTCAGCCAAGCGTCTCCATTGCGTTCGGTTCTCTCCTAGAGTCTTTACCTGGCTCCAAGTCTGCCCACACGTTTTCACCTCCTCTTCACATGACCTCCTCCAAGTCACCCTTCCACTGACGACCAACTCGCCGCTTCCCTTTCAGGTTCCACTAGAGCAATGGCTTGTCTAGTGATGTCACTTGATGGTTTCCTCAGAGTATGGCCAGCCAATCCATCTCCATTTCTTCCTGCCTATTTGTTTCACAATTGGTTCCGGCTGAGTTGGTTCGCTAGCAAAGATCTTTGTTGCTGATCTTGAGTATTGAACGAAGACAGCTGTTAACGAAGGTCTGTAGATTGTTTGAGATGCTCTTTATGACGCGCAGTGCAAGTCTCTGATCCGTATAGTAGCACTGACTTCACATTGGAGTTGAAAATCCGGATGTTAGTTTTGATGCTGAGTGCTGTTGACCTCCACACAGACTTGAGAGTAGTGAAAGCTTGTCTTCATTTTCCGATTCTTGCTTTGATATCCTCGTCAGTTCCGTCTGCCTGTAGTTGAAACGATGCTTCCCAGGTAGGTAAAGGAGGTTGTTTCTTTCAGGTTCCTTTCATTTATGCTGATTGTTGTCTGTTGTTGTTACTGTTGGTGGTGCTGCCGTTGGCCAGGAATCTTTACCACCTCTGTTTTCTCTGTGTTCACCTGAAGTCCTATCTTCTCCGGATGCTTCTTCTGCCGAATTGTTGCCTTTCGCTTGCATATCTTCCAGTTTGTGGGAAATCAGACATATATCGTCGGTGAAGTCCAGATCCTCCAAGTTTTTTGTGTGAGTCCATTTTATGCCTGTTTCCTCGCTGCCTGGCCCGCTGTTTGTCGCATTATCCAATCTACTGCAATCAGGAAAATCATTGACGATAGTAGGCAGCCAGCTCTTCTTACTCCTGTCCTCACTTCGAAGGATTCCGTAAGTTTCCTGTTGTGGATTACTTGGCATGCAGCATTGTCGTACAGCTGTTGGATGAGATGTATAATTGTTGGTGGCACCCCGTAGTAGCGAAGTAGTTTCCAAATCACCTCTCGATCGACGCTGTCAAAGGCCTTTTCAAAGTCGATGAAGTTGAGATAGAGAGGTGACTGCCATTCCAAGCTTCGTTCAATGATGATCCGTAATGTGGCGATCTGATCAATGCATGACTTGTTTCTCCTGAATCCAGACTGTTCCGGTCGAAGTTTTTCATCCAGCGATTCAAAATAGCACAGTGGTAACATCTCTGGTTGGAGCACTGGTTTGTATGTAATCTTAGAAGAGACATGAGTTGTTCCTTCAAGACTACAGATGCATCTAGATGACAAATGTTAACAACAGTCACGATACCTGTGTCAAGAGAAGTTGCCTACTAATTGCCTCCAAGCATCGAATATATATGAGTAGGATAAATCTGGTTAGGTAAACACACCTGTAGACGAATGAGATTACCCTTCAACTATCCGTTCATGTTGTGCTGTTCGACAATAAAAAGCCCTTTCTTTTAAAAATTATTATATTGTAGAGAGGTAGATAATTGTATACGATGAGAACTTACAAATAAAGTAACACTGTGGTACCCCATATCTAGATGACAAGTTGTAAAGCGATGCCAAGATGGTACAGATCATGACAGCATACAACACACACTCAGCTGGCACACTCAACTAGCACTCGTGACAATGCGACAAACAATGCAGCAATATATATATATATATATATGTGTCAAAAGTGTCAATCATTTATTTTAGTCGACAGTAAAAATAGATATTTCGTAGTTTAAAAGTGCCAATCGCATTTGCAAATACTTTAGGACTAAAATATCAATTCAAACGCTACTACAATTAATTAAAAGCAAATTATTCTACATGTAACAGTATTATACTGGTAATAACTGGAAACCTTCAGAAAAAAGCTAGAGATAGATAATAATTCAATTCAATAACAATAGAGAAACTGAAGGACGAAACTATAAAATGACACACATTCACTACAGCTATCAAAGAAAAGCCAGAGACATAATGTGTAGCATTATTGAGGAATCCTGTGTGGAAGACCACAGGGACTTTCTGAAATTCATGTTAAGGGACACGTGTATAGACGTTTTAGAAATAAGAAGAAGAGGCGAAGTGATTTGGAAACTGCTTCAGTACAACGGAGTCCAGTGCCCCAAATCCTTATCAGCCTTCAGCAACAGCTATACAACGATGTTACAAGTCGAATGGTCAACGGCGGAGAACTCACTCACTGACGCCATTTGAAGTGAAGACAGTGAAGATATTAGGACAAGGCCGCCTACTATCACCGATGATATCCCTGATTGTAGTGGAGTGGTTGATGCGGCAGGCCGTGACACGGGAACGACAAGACAGGAATATGTTGGGCAAGTAAGAAGACATTAAAAGATTTCGACTTTGTTGATAACTGATTTCTGAAGTCACAAATTCAACGATATACAGGCGGAAACCAACAGGCTGGCGGAAGAAGCAGCAAAACAAGGACTTCACCTAAACATAGTGAAGACAGAGGTGGTAATGTTAACTAACCAAAAACAACAACAAGCACCAATCACCATCGACGGGAGGAATTCACAGAAAGTCACCACCTTCGAAATAATGGAAATTTGTAGCTCAGGTGAATGATATAACATATCCTTCACTGGGAATTCAAATTAGTTTATTTTTTATTAAAAACTTCACTGAATATGTCTAGAAGGACGACGAAAAATTCGCAGTTAAGTCAGCCAGCTCACAGAACACAAGTAATTCAGTAGTCACCTCTTTCACTCGCCTAAGTAGCATCGTTTCAACCACGAGAAGACAGCACGGATGAAGATCTCGAAAATAGCCAGAAAGGGAAAGGTAAGGTGGACGTTCATTGCTCCGAAACCAATATGAAAATCTACTTCACTCGGTATAAAGAAAAACATTCGGATTCTCAAAACTTATGTCGAGTCAATCAGTCCTTTCATATAGTTCAGAGTCTTAATGTGTCACGTGCAGGCTTCAAACTCTTGGCAGCAAAGAACTCTTGCGACAAACCAACCAACTAACTGTTGCCCAACAAATATGCAAAAGAAAGTGGAAGTCATTCAAACACAAAATGAGGAGACAGTTGAAGAACATCACGCGCCAGGCTTTCGGCGGAGTGGAACCTAAATGGGATCTGTCCAAAGGTCGCATGCATATGTATACTTTTATTAATGTTTCCTTTAATTCCTAGAGGAGCACAGGGCTTCAGCCGCATGTCTCCATTGAGTTAGATTCTCCGTCAACGTTTTCACCTGGCCCAACGTAGGGGTGCCGCCAATAATTATACATCTCATCCAACAGTTGTACGACAATACTGTATGCTAAGTAATCCACGGTGGGAAATTCACGCAATCCTTGGAAGTGAAGACGGGAGTAAGACAAGCTGGCTGGCTGGCTACTGTCGCCAATGATTTCGAAAGACTGGATAATGCGACAGATAGCGTGCGACGAGAAGACAGGCATGAAATGGAGCCACACAAAAAACTTCGAGGATCTGGACTTCGCCGATGATATATTTATGTCTGATTTCCCACAAACTGGAAGATATGCAAGTGAAAACCAACAAGTTGGCAGAAGAAGCTTCAAGAGAAAATGGGACTTCCTTAAAAAATGATATATTACCTGAAGACTGAATCAAAAGTAAAATATAACAATACGTCTGCGATAAATAAGGAAGTGTAAGTCAATTCTACGCAAAGGATATTTAAGACACTCAGGGATGAGTAATCGCTGAGGTATCAAGGAAACTGACAACAGTAACATTAATTATTGCTATTGTCAGTCAGCAAAATTTTCTGTAGCGATAGGCTTGATTTTCCACAGTAGAGTCAATAGCCTCAGCGCCAAACTTTCCTCATATTCCCGGTTTAGGACAAGCCCAGAAAACTGGAAGACCAAGACCTATTCTTCAATCAGCATGACACAGAGAATCGTAACTGATCAGATACATGTTGAGGAGACCACTGAATGACATCACGCGCAAGACTATTGCCCGGGTCGAACACGAATGGGAAACGACGAGTTGGGCGTTGACCCGACGGTGACACGGAGGAGATCATGCGAGGAGATGACAGACTATGGGCGATCGTGAGATCAGCTAAAGAGAACTGTAGAGAATAGGACAGAGTGGAGATGTGCCATTGAAGCCTTATTTTCCACTCGGAACCCAGGGGAACGATAATAATTATAGTAATATATATATATATATATATATGATGACTTCAGCTTGAGTTAGAGGAATGATAATGAACTCACCGATGAGCTAAACACAACACTTGACCCACAGCTAATCGAGCAGCACGTGCCGTCTTCTTAGGATTCCATACTGTATCTGAATCAACACCGACACCACCACAGGCTAGCGAGCATAATCGATTTGACAGGCTAGTATTAGTACAGGAATTTAATAACGACAATCCATGATCACCAGTTGTACAACCGAATGATAATGCTTCTTCTTGTGAATCTAACGATTGAGATCTGCTAGTTCTAGTTTTAGCCTCACTTTCAGGATGAATAGATGCGTTTTTATTCGATAAACTGGGAACAGATCCAAATGCTTGAACATAATCCAGTGTATGGAATATGCGTAATTCATCCTGTATACACAAAGAGAAACATAATTGTAAGAAGTAAGATTCAGTAATAAAGAATCAACGGCTTCTATGTATACACAAAAACAAAACAAAAAAATAATCAGAACAGATTTGTCTAGATCTATAAAAATGGAACCTTTAACCTTTTGTACTAAGGTGTAAGTAAGTCGGTCAGAGTTGAATGCAGTGATGATTACAAGTATTGTTTAATAAATAAGTGTATATTAGAGAAATATTCCAAGGTAGAAAACGGGTTGCCTAGCATAGCCTGAAATACTTGTTGTTACTTCCTAAGAGCTGTCTTTTTATTCCTTCACGTTCCCAGTGGAACAACGCATTCCTAAACCTTGCTTATTAGCCGCTGGTAGATTGAGTAAAGATGGGAGGTTCGGTTTGAGGCTAGCAACTTCATCCCTATAAAAGGAATAACACCACTGCTATCGAAACTTGAAAGCTCAACGCTTGTAGCCCTCTATATTCCACTGGGAACGCAAAGGAATAAATGGATGAATGAATGGATGAACTAAGTAACTTGACCTTGGCGGCCTGTTTGAACATTTTGGGCTACCATATTCCATGTACATTTTGCATCTATTTACTCATATTTTGTTGTTGACGTTAACATTTAAAATTATGCATTCTAATCGTATCATTCACTCTCGGGATTATATAAGATGCTTACAACCCAAAAGCTTTCATATTTCCAATAAACTTAAGAAAAAGCACCATGGTGGTTGGCAACGTGCTTTAAAATCTACACCCATACATCAAACCACTGTTCCAGTTATCAATAGTACCAACTGCCGGTCCTTGCCTAACAAAATTCTGGGTTTTCAGTCCCTATTGTTATCCGAAACTTATCACAATACTGGCATTGTCACTCTGTGGTGAGAGCTGTCTACTAGCCAAACTGGTAGACAGTAATTTACGTCAATGTTTACGTTCTCAAGATTGGTCGTGAGAAAATATGAACAAGACTGATTCAAAACCGACCACAGCAGACTTTGCGTAGGCGGATACAGTTAACATATAGATGATCTGACATTCAAGAAACAGTCACAAATAGATGAAAGATTAATTTTAAGTGAGAAACAACCAATCAGAAGACTGTGTTTGTTTGCTTAACTAATCTATAATAATGTACATCAAAATATATAAATATGCTTTGATTTCCTTAATAAACGATCTGTTGCCTGGCCCTTGTCTTCTGTTGTTACAACTCTACAAGAAGTCTGGCTCCATGACTCATATGATGACAATATAGTGTCTTTAAGTGATTTTAATGTATTCCGACAAGACCGTGTTTGTTCCAAGAAAAAATGTGGCGGAGGTGTTGCAACTTTTATTCACTCTAAATGGTTCATTTCTAACAAAGTTTGTTTCAAATTCTCGAATGACTACATTGATTGCATCAATGTGAGATGTCGCCCGAAACACTTGTCAAAATACAAATTCATTTATATTTCTAATGTTTATGTCTTTCCTGGCTGTACCATATCGGATTTATCTATGTTCGCAGATGAATTCACCGCTTCTGCTGAAGCTTGCTTCGAGAACTATTTGTCAATAGTGACTGGCGACTTTAACTCATGCGAACACTTCTTCCTTATATTACTTGGTCATGACAATATTGTTAACTTCGCTACCCGTCTTGGTAAAACACTAGATCTAGTATCCATCAATGATGTTGGTATATATGAAGCTCGCAAACGTGCTCCTGTACTGTACTCTGACCACTGCATCATACGTGTACTGCCTAAAATATATTCCAAATCACACAAAGGCGTCTTCTTTCACCTCTACAGTAAATTTCAACTGAGATGCTACTCACAAGACAACCTAAGCAAGCTCAGGTGCATGTTGAAAGACACTAACTGGGACCTATTTACAGAACAAACATTAAATGACACAATCACAAACACTACAGATTATCTTAAATTCTGTTTTGAAATATGTTGTCCTAAAGAAACATTATTCACTCGATTTGACCGTTTCTCTTCTCCATATCTCAAAAAGCTACGTAGAGATAAAGAACTGTTGTTCAAAACAAATGATAAGTCAGGTGTAAAAAAGTTAAATACTCTGATAAAACTCAAATTGCAAAGACTAAATGTTTTATATAACCAAAGATTCTTGTCATGTAAAACCCCTTCTAGTTTGTGGAAACTTTTCAAAGAAATTACTAGCGGTAAGCGGTGTACTTCTGTCCCATCTCTTAATGTTGATACTCTTAATAAGTCTTTCATACGCTCTTCTGTCGATATCCTTCCTAATGATACAAATCATATAGACAATAATTTTAGTGGTTTTAATACCCTTGATGTGCTTAAATGTCTCCGTTCTCTTAAGCCTTCCCAAAGCCTTGGTCCTGATGGCGTACCTGCCATTGTCCTCAGGAACTGTGCTGATATTTTGTGTTACCCTCTTACTAATATTTTTAATGCTTCCTATTCCAGTAATGTTCTACCTTCTGCATGGAAAAACATAGAAATTATCCGTATACCAAAACAATCTTCCAGTACCGATATTAAATTTAGGCCCATTGCAATTACTTCTCCTTTTTAATATTGATGGAAAAATTACTTTTACTTCGTCCTGAAGATTCATTGAAACCTTTTAATGATCCTAAACAATTTGCATATAAACATGGTAGAAGTACCTTGGATGCTGCGGTTGTCTTATATCATAATGTTGTTTCTTGTTTAGACAAAGGTGCCAAATATGTTCGTGGTGCTTTCCTAGACTACACATCTGCTTTTGACTCTGTACCTAGGGGCCTTTTATTAAATAAGCTTTCGTTGACGCAAACAGGATCCTGAGCTAAGAGTTGGTTGCATTTTTATTTTTCTGATAGAATGCAGTATACTGTATATAATGGCAAATCTTCTTCTGCCTCGCTTACATAAACCGGTGTTCCTCAATGTGCCGTCCTCTCTCCATTTCTTTTTTCTTTCTTCCTACACGACCTGCCTCAATTAAACGAAACTAACTTCGTCAAATATGCTGATGATCTGACTTTATCACTGCCTATCACTTCTGCGTCTGACAGCTCCAAACTTAATAGCTTTCTGCTGGACATCAGCAAGTGGTCTAAGTCAAACCGTCTTATGTTAAATCCTTTCAAATGTCAGGCAGTTAACTTTACTTTCAAGCATCGACGTGACATACATGAAGTAGTTAGTTCCCATGATGCCTGTAGCATAGATGGCACTGAAACTGAAACCAAGTCAAGCATTAAATACCTTGGATTAGTTCTTTCCTCTGACCTTTCATGGTCATCCCACATCTTATCAATCTCTGAGAAAATGTTTCGTCTTACCTTCTACATTAAAAAGTTAAGACAATCAGGGATCAAATAACCTTTACTTCTGCAGTTTGTTAACTCCTGTATTTTACCTACTGAACTCTACTGCTCTCCATTAATCTTTCCTTGGCTTCTCAAAAAAGACTATATCGCATTACGAAGGGTATTAAATGCTGTGAGTAGGGCTTGTGGTTTGCCACTGCGTGAGCTCGCCAATACTATAGTCGAGAGACACATAAATCCCTGTACAAAATGAGCAAAGGCCGTACTGTCAGACCCTCTGCACCCTCTTTATTCACAACTATCCCCTTGTATCTCATAAGGTAGGACGAGAAGTCAATATAAAAAGTTATATGCTCGCACCACTAAGTACAAAAATTCTACAATACCCTATTTAGCCCGTATTTTATGTGATGAAGACACTCTTAGACGTGAAACATATAAGTTACTAAGTAATTAGCAAAGTGAATCGACCTTTTCATCGTTCATCTTTCTGTAATTTTATGGTGTCACCCTTTCTATCGTTTAATTATAACTTTGCTATTTTTATTTTAGTTGTTTTTACTATTATTACTACGATTTTATACTTTACGCACATTTTTCTCCTTATCGCATACTGTAATTGCTACATAGCTGCTATAACAACGTTTTATTATTATTATTATGTAATTGGTTATTTTTTGTCGTTTCGAGTTAAATAGATGCAATATTGTACTGAATGCTGAAAATCCCTTGCTGTATCATTAGTACTGTTTTTGGAATAAAGCAAAAACTATTATTATTATTATCTAGAAAAGTTTAGACGGCAATACAATTCACACATTATAAACACAAAAAACTCACTTCTGTAGCCATTCGTGCACGAATCAGACGACAAAATGCCAACAATGGTAAATGTGTAACTAATGTTTCTGCCATATCTGGTCGAGTTTTTAAAAATTGACTAAAATCATATTGTAAATCAGGATTATCACATAATACAGTTGTTTTTAAATTTTCAATTAAATTATTCGATGCATACGGTAACATATGTAAAGGGATACGAAGAGGTATATGTACAAGACGCTGAAGAGCAAAAGTTAATCGATCTGGACATTCAGGATGAATAGTTGAATCATGAGCATGAAGACAAATACATTTATGTTCAAGCATATCTGGATCAAAGGCTATCGCAGTTATTGAACTGTCATTGGAAACGACACTAGACAGCAACAGCAACAACAACGGAAAAAAAAGCGAAAAAGTATATATTTAAAAGTAATTAATTCCTTTTATGAATTTTGATAAAAACAATTAAAAAGACATGTGTAATATTAAGGATACAGAACACATTCGGAAATGGTTCCAACAACAAATAATATCGCTGGATCCAATTAATCCTGGAAATAGATGTCCTACATTATCTATCGCGAAGCACATCATAGAAATGCTCCAAAAGGTGATTTCAATAATGCCTTTAAGCCAATATATAAAAATACATATTGGTGACATACTTAAATTCATTGAAGCCTTGGTCATAAAACGGTTTACACTTGTTTTATGCGTTCAAAAATGATTTTTCATTATTCCGTACCTGTTTGGATATTTCAATTCAGAACTGAGGTTCAATTTACTACTTAATACTATTTCTACCCTGTTCCTTTTTCTTTTTCTTACCCCATATTCTTACTTCAACTTCCTACCTCTTTTATTCGTAGCCCTACCGTGTACACCATTTAATCTTTAGTGTAATCATTTATGCTTTGTTACCTTCTATGCAAATGTATATATGACAAGTAGATGTGTTACATCAGAATGTCCGAAATGTGTTGCCCAAATACAATACATATTTCACATAAATTACGTCTTTTTATTGTTTTGTTGGAAGCAAATATAAAACAAGAAAGGCTGTGACCAAAAAAATGTATTCACAGTTCCATACTGTCTTTGAACATAGGTGTCTCCGTTCTATCTCCCGTGTTAAGTGGTATAATAAGGTGAGCAATATTGAGGTTAGGCTTCGGTCGACTATTAGGTTAGGAGAGGAAATCAATCAACGAGACTGTGAAGTTACATCGATTGACATGGTTCGGACATGTGCTAAGCATGCATGCCCAGCCATCGCCTTCCTCGACAATGGGCAATGTTAGCTCACATAGGGTCATGTCGGAAAACAGCCAATGGTGGTCTAACCAAAACATAGTATCAATCAATGAAATTTACAACAGTTACTTTAAGCCAGTCACGTAGGAGGAAGATGTAGACTTCTTGACTGGTTGGGGTCCTCGGGACGGTAAACACAAATGGCCGGAGACAATTGGTGATATGACTCAAATTCGTCATTCTCGATGATGGCGCAGATGAATCCACTCTTTGTGATTTATAATTTCCAATAAAATTATATTGTTCTTCCATATTTCTATTCTTTTTGCCTCATATCTCTGTTTACAGTCTCTATTTTGCATTTCTTTTTACTTTCTTCTCTTGCTTTATGTGCTACAAGGAGGAAGTGTGGCAACTTCGAACTACTACACATCGGTGCAAAGTTCCACATTGAAACCAGTAAGTTAGTTAATTTCCACACTCATAAAGGAGATTATACCGATAACGAACGACATTATTAAATTGCATTGATGAAGCTTTAGCCATTCAGTTAGGAAAAAAAACCAGAGATATGCAGACAGCGGAAAATTACTCAACCACTTTTACTAACATGGTAACAACCTTGTTGATATCCACTGACCTGACTTTTGCTTGTTTGTTTGTTTGTTTTCCTAACTCCGTATAACTCTTGCATTTCTCTCAAGAACTTACACACAACTCCACAGTTTCCTTCGTTTCTATGTGCATCCTGATAGCAACTCATTCAGTAGATTATTCATTTTAACTCCAATTCACTAATTCAATTCGTCTGATGCGTTGACTAATATGTTTGTGACAGCAACTCATCACCTTTGTTAATACCCTTTTTCATGAAAAAAGTTTTTATAACTAGGGTTGTACACATAGAGAAGATGAATTCACCAAAAAAAAGAGTCTCTTCGCACAACTACTTGTCTTATTTTTATTCTTAAATGTAAAAAAAGCATTCACTGAAGTAGAGGTACACTGTCTCTTCACAAGCACTTTGATTTCAATTTTGAGAAATAAATATATTAGAGACCTCATCTCATCTACACTACGTGTATATCTACCAGTTTGACTGCTCCTGTGGATAGGAGTACAATTACGCAGGTTGATTATCGGATTTCTAAACATAATTAATCATCCTGCATGGTTAAGAAAGGGATAATTTAAAATTTCTCTCTGTCCCCCCCCCTTATGGCTGTTTTTTTTATTCCTTCACGTTCCCAGTGGTGAGCAATATTGAGGTTAGGCGTCGAGTGTTAGCTAAGGAGGGGACATCAATCGACGAGACTGTGAAATTACATCGACTGAGATGGTGAAGACATGTGTTACCTATGGCTAGTCATCGCCTTCCTCGACAATGAGCAATGTTAGCTGATATAGGGTCAGGCTGGAAAAGAGCTAGCGGCGGTCAAACGAAAACATGGCACCAGTCAATGAAATCTACAACAGTTAGTTTTAACCACGTAGGAAGATGTAGACTGGCTTCCTGGTTGGGGTCCTCGGGACGGTAAAAAACAATGGTTGGAAACAATTGGTGACATGACTCAAAATCGTTCTGAGTGGCGCAGATGCATCCACTCCTTGTGACTTATGATTTCCATTGAAACTGTATTGTTCTTCGTTATTACTATCCCTTTGTCTCACACCTCTGTTTACTGTCTCTAATATGCATTTCTCCTACTTTCTTCTCTTGCTTTGTGTGCTACATGAAGGGAGTGTGGCGACTTGAACTGCCGCACATATGTGCGAAGTTCTATGTCGAAAACCGACCGACCGACCGTGCCACCGACGCAAAATTTCACTTATGGAATTTACCATTTCACCCAAATAGCTAACGAGAAATCATGTGATGATTTGAGCTGGAGTGAATCGGAGACACTGCTAATGAGCGAAATCGCTGCTCATATATCCATGCTGAGATCACTTCAAGGATCTGCCTCGCAAGTATTACTTGGTTAATCTATGATTTGTATACAACCACTGTCACTGTCGATAGGATAATTAATATACTTTGAATGAAGATAGAATTAAGAGTTAAAAAACAACAACAACAACAAACACTGAAAGACTCCAGTATAAAATAAACACGACAACTATAGACTAACCTTGGATAACAAGATGCAGTTTTTACATCTGTATCACGATTGCAATGAAGCCAGTCATTCTCAGGGAGAGCAGACCAAATATCTGAAGCTAGTTTATATATATTCTGTGAATTGATGTTATTATTATTATTATTTTTCTTAGAACTATTTGAAACGTCAGTATCAGTATCATCATCATCACCACATCTCTCATTATTACAATTACGGAGAATATTAGAACCATTATTAGTATTATTAGAGGCTAACAGATGGTGCACATCAATTGATGGATTCACTTGTGAAGTGTTGTATACAATATTCCGGATATTAGAATTTGCCAATTGACTCTCCCAATCCATTTCATCATTATTTGATGTTGTAGTACAGCATAAAGTTGGCGATGTATGCATTGCAGTCTGATGATGATGATAATGCGATTCTAGAATATTCGATTGAGCTGACGATCCTTGACACATTTTTACAAGCACAGATAAAGCTGAACAATGTAGACCAGACAGACACACATCAGGAGAGAGGGAGGGAGTGAGAGAGATAAAAGGGAAAGTGTTAAGAGACAAACAAATATAAAGTGTCATAAAAGCTTATTATTATTGTATCCTTTAATTCCTAGAAGAACATAGGGCTTCAGCCAAGCGTCTCCATTGCGTTCGGTTCTCTGCTACAGTCTTCACCTGGCTCCAAGTCTGCCCACACGTTTTCATCTCCTCTTCACATGACCTCCTCCAACTCACCCTCACCCTTGCACTGACGACCAACTCGCCGCTTCCCTTTCGGGTTCCACTCGAGTGATGGCTTGTCTAGTGATGTCACTTGATGGATTGTTTCCTCAGAGTATGGCCAGCCAATCCATCTCCATTTCTTCCTGCCTATTTGTTTCACAATCGGTTCCTGCTGAGTTGGTTCCCTCATTGCCAGAGATCTCTGTTGCTGATCTTTTCTGGCTGGCTGGCCATTTGATCTTGAGTATTGAGCGAAGACAACTGTTAGTGAATGTCTGTAGTTTGTTTGAGATGCTCTTTATGACGCGCAGTGCAAGCCTCTGATCCGTATAGTAGCACTGACTTCACATTGGAGTTGAAAATCCGGATGTTATTTTTGATGCTGAGTGTTGTTGACCTCCACACAGACTTGAGAGTAGTGAAAGCTAATAATGTTAAATCTAATCATCATTATCAATTATTGTTAATAATGTGAATTCCTTTTTAAAATTAGAATCACAAAAAACTATGCACATATTATCATCCTTAAGATATTAAATATAAATCTTAATAAGATAAAGCACGTTATTTTAACAGTCATGTTATCACATGTGTACACCTAATGATAGTGACATCAAGGTTTCTATAAATAGAAGCAAAAGTTATTTACAGTTTAGACGTAGTGATCACAAGAGAATTATATATATATATATATATATATAATATGACATGATAAAGTGTTTCTTCTTCAAAAATTAGAACTATAGAATTTAAAAACTCCTGAATATACATCACATTTGATTGCACTTATATTCGACTTCGGTATAATATATATATTGGTACCAACAAGGAGGAGAAGTTAGAAGGGAACAACCAATGATTGACCCGTAGCACCGAAAAGAAAAAATTCTAAATCAAATTTTCACATTCTTTTTTCACTACCTGTCTGTCATACATTACATTTCGTCAGTCATTAAGTTCGAATTCTGTTGACAGTGGTAGTTTCTTCTTGGTTCATTCGTTCATGCATTCATTCATTACTTCCATTTTTCAAGTGTTGACAGCTTTGATAGCGAGTTGATATCAGTTTGAGAACTACTGGAAAAGCAGTTAGATAGTACTCGATGGTTGTTTCGTCCTAATTTGGGACTCTTCAATGAGGTGTACCAAGCGCAGTTTGAACCAAGGACTTTATGGCTCATTGACTATTCACCCACTGGGACTGATCCAATGGCTCATGAATTCTAGCGGGGTTCACTAAGTTATGTCATGAAAATAGCTACCCGCAGATAACATTGGCTGACTGGATCGAGTCCCAGTGAATGAATGGTCTACCAGCTCGTCTTGTAATCGGGATGTCCTGGGTTCAAACCCCGTTGGGTGCGTCATACCGAAGAGTTTCAAAATAGGACAAACAACTGTCTATTAGTTGCAAATTAGATAAAATTTAGATGATATAATAACGTGATCATATTTCGAGCACAATTCACTGTTCACAATCATATCAATAAGCAATCACACGACTTAACAATTTGCTTTCATTTATACTTTTTCTCTCTACCCTTGTTGCTTATTGCAATTTTGCAAATATCCAGTATGGATGTTGCCTCGTTTCGATTGCTTGTGTTTCATGTTGAGTTGATGAACAATAATTCGGCTATTAACGTCTCTGTGTCTGTCTATCTCTATTCTATTAGTTTTACTCTGTCTCACACTATTATGTGATTCCACGCAAATGAATGCATTGTGATGATAGAGCTTTTCTCCAACCTGTTTAACTTAGCAGGGTCGTTCATTCTGTCTTTGGAGGTGTGTGGGCGGTTGTTACTTCCCGGCTACCCACACCATGGAAGTTGGTTGATTATTCGGGTACCTGGAAAAGAAAGAGGGTTAGTGTTGCCCTACCGCAGAGCCCAGAAGACAACTGCTTGATGCTGGCCCGTCACACACGGTCTGTATGAATTGGTTTCTTGGTTTGGTTCCATATTATTAAACTTACCACCGAAGGGTAAGTTAGGATGTATAATTTTTGGGGTCGACCTTTTCTAACCCCCCTCTCCTGAGTGAAGAGACAGCATAGGTGGCTGGCATGCTGATCATCTGAGGAAAACACCTCACTGCTGTTACATGCGTCGGTGGCACAGTGGTTAGGACTCTCGCCGACCATGCACATGGTCCGGGGTTCGATCCCCTGCCGACGCACACCTGATATCTATGGTTGGCCTGCAAAATTTGGGCTAGTGATATCACATGCTGAAAATTCCATACCTGTACCAAAAAATACGGTGTGGAATCAAGCTGTAATCAAAAAAAAATTTTTTTAAATCATCCCTGTTCCCCAGCAGTACGATTCGCCCACAGACCCCCAGTATAGTGTAAGAAAGATTCTTGCACTATGCCGGCAACTGCTTTTAGTCTAATCGCTATCCTAATAACGTTCCTGGCATGGTAGGACCTGCAGGAACATTGGTTCCAGCCAGTGTCGCTTGTTGGGTTATTGTGATGTGCAAGCCCGACCACCACGCCAAGGTAGCAGCTATCGGTCGGGGGTCATTCATTCTACCTCTAGCTAAATTTCTATGTTCCGATAATCTGATTAACCCATGTAACTGACCTTACAATTATTGCATGCTATTTGGTAAATTATATTATTTTTTTCTTAATTGAATCTATCGAGTCGATAAGCCGATAAAGTTTGTCTCTGAATGATTTAGTTAATTGGCTTAAATACCACCACTCCTAATTCCAATCTCATTAGAAATTTCACATAGGGCTTCTGATGTCCCCCCATTTACATGGCGGTACTGTCGAGGCCTTAAATTCCTTATTATTTTCTATAATTCTCACTATTAATATTACTATTATTCTTATTTTAACTGATTAAAAGTGCCCATTAAAGTTTTTCAAAAGAATGGTTACTGAACAAAGAATATTCTTTCTATAATTTCATCATCATCAGCAGCAGATTCTACAGTTACGTATACACATAATGGTCAATGAATTCATGTTAGCAAAACAACAATAATAGTGTTGTTTGAACAACATCGAATCAATAATAATAATAATAACAATGAATTACAGTGCGATAGCATCTACACAACACTACACACTGAATATCATAAAAATTAGGAAAGATAATAATACAAATTCATGAATTTTTAGTCTCCACTGAAGGCCAGTCAGGGCAGTAGTAGTGACAGTAGCTGGACTTGCTTCTTCTGCACACAGAGCACCGATTGTTTAAGGCGAATCGCGATAGCCTCTACTGTTTGGAGTATACGGTATCTCGATGGTTTTGGCAATTTATTTGGTACCCGGTAGATGATGATTGAGAAGGATTCTTCAATGCTGGTTGGCTGGCTTTGTAGCCGGTTTGGACCAGGTGGTCTAATATCGCATTGTTGATGGTTTTTACTACACCTTTACTCAGCCACACTGGTAGATGTTCCCGAGTGAGCACGGAAAATCAAGTTCTTAGAGCAACGACCAACATAACTCGGTTCACAAGCGGAGATGAATTGGTATATACAATTAGAAGTGTCTAGCTAGTCTAGGTAGTTCATACATTTTTGAATATATTCTGGTGCGTAATTATTCACTAGCAGTGATTTCTTTATGTGCCTAATTTTATTATTCAATTTTTTTCACTTACTAGTTAGGTTTCTGGCTCGATCAAATAAAAGCCCAACCTTTATTGATTCTGCGTGTGATGAGTATTTATTAGAATGTGCCAGTTTCCTACAGACATTATTGTCTAACCCACTATTATTATTATAGGTTGTAAGTTTAAAGAGAACAAATCAGTACACGTAGAACATACCATTATGATAGTTCATATCTGTACTGACATCAGACACAGGAACAGACTCTTGTTCTTCAACACAATTTTCAGTCACCCGCATCTACAACACAAGTAAGAAAGAAAGAACAATGTATACCAAAAAGTCAAATTTATATATATATATATATATATATATATAACTTCAATCGCTTTCGCTAACTTACACCATCTCTGGCGTAGGCATGACATCCGGTTACCAACCAAGGGACGTGTGTACTGCTCACCAGTTCGCTCCGTCCTTCTCTATGGCTGGCTCTGAAACATGGCCAATACGAGTTGAAGACATGAAAAGGTTGACTGTTTTTGATCATAGATGTCTACGATCTCCTCCTCACGTTAGGTGGTATAATAAGGTAAGTAATGTTGACGTTAGGCGTAGAGTGTTGGACAAAGAGGGAAAATCAATCGAAGAGGCTGTAAAGTTACACAGATTGAGATGGCTAGGTCACGTGCTGCGCATGCCTAACCATCGCATCCGCCGACGAACGGGCATTACTAGCTGATATAGGTGCAGGTTGGAAAAGAGCTAGCTAGTGGTGGCCAAACAAAAACATGGCCTCATCAATCCATGAAATCCTTCTTTGACAGTTAAACTGAGTCAGGTAGGGAGGGAGATGCAGACTTCCGGGTTGGGGCCCGTCCTCGGGACTCTAAGAATCAATGGCTGGAAACAATAGGTGACATGGCTTAAAATCGTTGTCAATGGCTTACGCAGATGTATTCAGTCTCTGTAATCTTTCATATTACTTTCTACAATAACTCATTCTGTTTCACTCTTATACTTGTCAAAACTCTATTGATTCTCTTCAGTCATTTTCTTGTCAACCTTCGTGTGCTCTTTGAAACGTGGCAATTCGAACTGCTGCACATCGGTGCCAAGTTCTATGTTTAATCCAGACAGACAGAGAGACAACTTCAATCAATTCGTAATATATATATCACAACTGCCAGTCAATGTCACAGGCAAGTAACTGCTCTTTTAACTGACTTGGTGGACTCCGCTGGTTATAACGTCTTACCTGAACTCCAGGTTACTTTCTGTAAAGAGCCAGTTGCTAGAGAGCATAAGATTAACTATCAGAGATTGGATTCGTCACAGGTTTGACCACGAACTGAAATTGGTTCGGGTCCTAGTGTCCAAATGATCTGCCAGGTCACCTAGTAAGTTGAAGGTAACGGATTCGAACCCCGATAGTTTCCATACTGATGATGAGTCCAAAACAGGGACGAAACAACTGTGAAGTACTCCCTGCTGGCTTTCCGATGGTTGTCTAACTGATGTCAACTCGTGAAATATTCTGTCACCAATCAAATCCTTAAGAACTATATATGTATATATATATATATATATAACTGCTAAGAAATGCGTCGGTAGTTCCGAGGTAGAATGCTCACCAACCACCATGAGCGTGGTCCGTGGTTCGATTCCCGATCATCAAACAATGTTTACTTACTCTAGCCGGTTTGTAAGGCGGACAGAGAGGGAAGGTTGAGTGTGAGGCTAGCAACCCTACCCCGTAAAAAAACATTAGTGCTACTGGAACTTCAAAGCTGAACCTCGAAAACCTATGTTCGACTCAGAAGGCAAAAAAATAAAATAATACAAAAAATAATAATCATAACTATTAGATAAAATATAAAAAGTGACCAGTAGACCATTTTGCGTGACTCCACTTCTGATATGGAATTTTTAGCCGTTAATTTTATCCCTTTAGGAAATATACACTAACCAACAGAGATAAATGCAGAAAACAACAACAAAACAGAATCATTTCATTTCATTTCGTCAATGTTTTTTCTATCAACGCTGCTTATAAATAAAGCTTGGTCGAAACACAAGGGAAAAAAGCTGGTGACCTGTTTAACCCACTGAGCTATTCAAAGTTTCCGTCTATCAGCATAATTCATCTACTTTCTGCCGTTCTTACTGTAGTTTTCTTAATCTTCCGATTATGTTTTTGGATTGCAGTATCAAGTTATGGCAAGCAACCTAGCGTTGTAGACTTCAAAAATAAAATGACGGGGAAAATATCCTAGAGAATTGAGTCTTGTTTTAGAGAGGGTGACGTTGAATAACGAATATTCGAACTTGAAGATTCGATACATGGAGTGAGTCCTTTTCAAAAAAAAATAAACTACACGCTGAGAATTCCGTGTTGCATTTAAGCTTGACGACAAACATAAAGAATGGCGACCACGGTGTGTGGACGCACTGATGACCTTGAACGCATACCATTCATTGGATTATCTGGAAACTACTTCACAATTACAAGAAAGGATATCAGTTTCCAAGTTTCATAGATATCAAAACGCTTTCATTTATATGTGAACAAAGAAATACTCCTCTCCCTGCTCATGATGAAATCATGATAACAGTAAGAAGATCCCTGCAGACCAACGCTTGAAAAACATAAGTTGAAGATGAGGCAGTAACTCATCGAAGAAGACATTACGAAATGGTCGCACTATGTTGTGAATTGGCAGAAGTTAGAATTCATGGACCATTGGTTCGGGTCCCAGTGGCTCAACGGTCAATGGCCTTGTAACCAGGACATCCTGGGTTCGAACCCCTTGTGGTGGGTGCGTACTGATGAAGAGACCCAACCTACAACGAAACATTTGTCCAGTACTCCTTACAGGTTTCCCAATGGTTCTCTAACTGCCGTCAGCTCATGATGAAATCCTCCATGCAATCAATAATAAAAAACCCTCCAACCCTTATCCTAGCCTTAATCCTAACACGAATACTTATCTTAACACTAACACATGTTATCAACCCGTTGTTTAGTCTAAACAGTACTTAAAACTACTAAATCAGAATGAAGTTTGCACCTCAGTACGTGCTCAGCTTTCATACTGGCGCTGTCATAACAACAGTAGATTCTGTAGTCCAACAACCAAGGGCATGCATTCAAAGTTGATTGGTGCTTTCACACACCATAGTCGCCAACATAATTTCCACAATAAAGCTTTTATTAATAGTTAATTATTATTAGTAGTAGTTAAGATATAACCATGACGACTTATTGATGATCGTAGACAGACAGATTCTCAACAATGGATTAGCAGGTGGATAATACTGCAACTAAAATGTGACATTTTTTTCCCATATTGAAAGAAATTTTTGGAACGTCTAGACTGAAATCGTTGTGATGAGTAGAAACTAGATTTTACCTGTCTCTTGTGTACAGAACGAAAGAAAGAAGTATCAACAAGAACTGACAAAAAAGAGAAAAAAGAAAAGAATCAAGGGTGCCTTGAAGAGAGAACTATTTCCCACACTGCCAAACTGATTGATTCCTCTCGTTCTGCAACACAATATTCTCATTAGTTAATTCAATTCAGTGAAAAGTAGTAAAGTAACCTGGTCACGCGTCAACTCGAACTGGATTCGCAGATTCACCTACTACACTTACGATGCAGCAAGTCCAGAGGAAGGACTAAAAAGGAGAGCGTCAGCTTGATTTTCTAAACACATCATCCCTAAAAGTATTCGTATGTGAAAGAAAGATAGCAAAGTGCTTCCTCAAATGCAAACGCCAGACACCTGACTGATGATACGGACATTACAACTGTAGTGGTTGTTTAGCTGATTATGAAAGTAAAGGAACTAGAGATGACTCTAAATTAATATTTAATTTCTATAACCAGACAATATACTGGATACGCCAGATAAATACACATCAACACATCCACACACATACACTTATGAGGACAAAATAAGGGACAAACTAATGGATTCAAATGAAAATAGGTACACACACACACAGACACACACAGACTAAGCAAAGGATTAGCATTGATTCTCTTTGTCTGTATTCATTTCAACCCTATATAACATATTCATGCGCTTAGGTTTATTCAAAACATTCATATTGTTGTTGCTGTCTATTGTGGAACAAAGCCTATGTTTTAATTTAGACCCCTAGACAAATTTCGATTCTGTCTTCTATTAATTGAAAAAAAAAGAAATAAAACAAAAATAGAATAAAGTAAAATAATATACACAACGAAAACAAGGCATAAGGTATACATCAAGTTATTTCGACTTATATGTTATATATACTATGCTGCCACGCTATACACACTGTATTCAAGTATTGGTTTTGTAGGGATTTCATTTGATGGGATGGAGGATTTTATCATGAGCTGGCATCAGTTAGAGAACCACTGGAAAACCTGGGAGTACTGAACAGCTGTTTCGTCCTAGTTTGGGACTCTTCATCAGTCGCGCCATGTGGTGAATTGGCAGAAGTTACAATTCATGGACTGGCCAATGGATCGGGTCCCAGTGGCTTAATGGTCAACGAGCTCGCCTTGTAACCAGAAGGTCCTGGGCTCGAACCCCCTGTGGTGGTAGAATGCGTTGACCACTTCACTTATTTGGGAAGTTGCATCGGCTCCAGCAGGCTGGTCGCTGACGAAATCTCAGCACAGATAGAGAAGGCTCGGTTCGCATATGCCAGTTTACGGCATCTCTGGCGAAGACGTGATATCCGGTTGTCGACCAAAGGATGTGTATCCCGCTCAGCAATTCGCTCCATCCTCCTTTATAACTGTGAGATATGGTCATTGGAAATGGAAGAGTAACTGTCTTTGATCATAGGTGTCTCCGTTCCATCTGTGTGTTGGGTGGTAGGTGTAATAGGGTACCTAATATTTTTTCTTAAATTTGAGCCAGCCAAGTAAGGAGGTGTAGACTGACTGGTTGAGGTCGTCAGGATTCTAAAAATCAATAGACAGAGACAAATGGTGGTGATATGGATCAGTACCGTTCTCAATGGCTCAAACAAATTCGTTCTTCCTAATCTCTCACATAACTACTAAACCTTATTGTTTTTCCAGGTTTCTATTACTTCTCCTTGACATTTCTGTATATTATCGTTCTTCCAAATCTCTTTGGTTTTCCCCCGTTTGTCTTCCTGCGTATGTGTGTGGTAAGTTGAACTGTTACACTTTTGTGTAAAGTTTCACGCTGAAAATCAATCAATCAGTCAGCCATCGAACTAATTGGAAGTGACAACAGGGAATAAATTGCAGTACAGAGGCACTGATAAGGTC